ACAGCCGGAGTTGCGACGATTGGAGTTTCCCTTTGTTGCCATAGTGAGTGAAATAGTGCCGGTTGTATGCCCTTCCAATCAAGGCCGCTTGCGTATGAGAGAGATGGCGAGTGTGCTGAGCATAGCTAGATTGTTTCGCCACCTAGTGGGTCACAGCCAGCCCTCCTCTTCAAGAAGTGCAGCCGGTTGAGAGCCGCCTAACCCATGCGTAGCTGTGCCGGATGCATAGGTAGAGCTGGCCAGATGCTGGGGTTGATAGGAGTATCGTATTGCTCAAACACTCACTGCCGGCTGACTCTTTGATTGTAATAGTATCCTCCGGCTGGGTTGATGCCGTTTGTTACAATCAATAAGATTGTTTGATTGTGCTGAGCATCGGCTTATTTCATGGCCTCTTGCACACACAACCGGATTGATCATGCCGGTTGTAAGGTGAGAGTTGTACAGCCGGATGCCTTGTGATATGCCGGTTGCGTCTTGTATTCACAAGGTTGCATCAGACACTTAGCAGCCCCTATAAGCAGTTATTTGACTTGGCACGGAGTCGTTTGCATGCATGGAAATGGGAGCTTGCTGGCTGCATACTCAAATCGAGCTCATTGCATCATACTGCCGCCTTCTCATGCATCATAATGCCGCTTGTATATGTTCGAAGCAACAAGCCACTCAGCTCTTGCTTTCGAGGTTCGACGCTTGGGTTCTCAAATGCTTATGTTAATTTTACCCTTGAAACATGCTTGGTTGAATGGGATATTGCCGGCTGTATGCTTTTGGGATAACAAACCATTCTTGCATTCACAGCGTGACATTAAATTGAAATGGAAATGGAGGCTGTATTTTGCTCACCAAAGTTGCATGCGTATGTCCATGCAGTTAGGCTGGATTTCCACTAAAAAGTTGCATGCATATTGTTTCGGGGTTTTCTGATGTCCTGCGGGAGAGTTACAATTCCGAGACTGAAACTGGACGCCTGTACCTGCAAAACAAACGGAGACTCCTTGTGGTGGGAGCTCCGCCTCCAACGATCAAGTTAGTACTTGTTTGAGGAGTAATTAATGCGGAAATTAAAGTGATTGGGTTTCTCTAGGTGAGAGTGTTTTTGCTTAATCCCCTTTAATGAGGATTAATTAAGTATTTATAGTCTTTGAGAAGCGTGCCAATCCTAGGTTTAGGTTAACCTTAAGCTGATTGGGCTTTCCTCGGAAGTTGGGCCTGGGTGGCCGGTTTCTCCATTAGGCATGGAGTATGCCACGTGTCATGACATAATAGGTCCAAGGTGGACGAATAAGCGGGTGCCACGTGGCAAGCCCTGACAGTTCCAACTGAGGGACACTTGGCAGGACCTGATTGGCCCACGTGGCGCATTCCGATTGGTGGGAGCAAAATCCCCTAATCACATATGGCCATGCAGTTAGGCTGGATTTCCACTAACTTTTTTTTTATTAATTTTTTAATAATAAATTAATATATATATATATATATATATATATTATTTTGAGATAATCATAATAATAATATGATTGCATGTATAGCTAACAAGCTTGCCGGCTGACCCTTGAAAGTTGGTCATATGATGCCTGCAGTACTGGACAGTCGGCCCCACAACGCCTGTAATACTTGGCATTCGGCCTCATGACACCTCATGTACGTGACAGTTGGCCTCATGACGCCTGTAGTACATGGCATTCGAGCGCTCTTTCATTTGAGGACACAAAAGGTTGTTTTGCCGCCTGACCCCTGAGAAGGGGACGGTTGCATACATGACTGTCCACACGGCATGTATGGCTGCTGGAACGCTTACTATGCCGAATGGATTCTGAGGGCCAGAAGGGGAGTCAGGAGGTGGTACAGACTGTTGTGAAGCCATCTCAGTGGTACTCTCCCCACAGACGGCGCCAAATGTTTCGGGGTTTTTTTATTATAACACCGAGACTGACCTCCAGCTGTCTGTACCTGCAAAACAATGGAGACTCCCAAGGGTGGGAGTTCCGCCTCCGACGATCAAGTTAGAACGTGTTTGAGGAGTATAGTGCGGAAAGTAATAACCCCTCCTGAGTCAGGAGGGTTCTGCAATGAGGATTGCTCAGTTAACAACCCCTCCTAGGTCAAGAGGGTTTGGCAATGAAGATTGCTTGGTTTTTGAGAGTATTGAATGTGTATTCAATGTATGTTCTCTATATTGTGTATTGTGTTTTTTTTATCTTGTATCCTTATAAATGAGGATGGCTCCTCTATTTATAGAGAAGATGATCAATCCCTTTCTAGGGTTTGGTGACACGTGGAAGCAAGCTAGCGGGACACATGTCGCGTTGATAGTGGTCCGCTTGTTAGGGGTATTTTACCCCCAAACAATGGCTAAAGGCAGTTCTTATCGTGGTGCTGCCAGTCCATTTCAGCACTCCATTGCAATAATTGGGTTGTACTTTAAACAAGTACTGCAAGCAATAGTTCATTTGTCTACCAAGATCATAAGACCATACCAAAGTTTGAGCGAGGTGCCAAAAAAAATAGGTGACAGCACAGAATATTGGCCATATTTCAAGGTATTAAGAAACATTATTATTATCTTGCATTGCATTGTCATTATATTATTTTATGCATGTGCAATGTATAATCACTTATAAAATGTATCTTTAAAAGTTTATGAACTATTAGGATTGTGTTGGAGCATTGGATGAGACTCATATAAATGCAGTTGTAAGCGATGATGATGGTGTGGCATATCAAGGGCGTTCTGAAGAAAAAAACATGGAATGTTTTGGCTGCCTGTTCCTTTGATAGACTTTTCACGTTTATTAACGTTGGATTTAAAGGTAGTGCTCATGATATTACTGTATGGAACCATTGCTTAACCGTACCAGAATTTCGATTTCCCCATCCACCTGCAGGTATAATTAAAAATAGTGTATTATTTTACTCCATACATGACACTATACTAATATGCCATATAACTTTATTTTGTAACAGGTAAATATTATCTAGTAGATTCTGGATATCCGAATACCGTTGGATATTTGAATCTAATAAAAGATAAAGATATTAGAACCCATATGCCCGAATTTCGAAATGGTCCACCACCTCAAGACATACTTGAACTTTTTAATTATCTTCACTCTTCACTTCGAACAACGATCGAGAGATGTTTTGGACAATTAAAATCTTGATGGAAAATATTGACAATGATGCCAAATATGGACACTAAACATCAATTGGCAATTATGGTTGCTACATTCACATTTCACAATTTTATTCGATTACATGAGTTGGATATACCCATTGATAGTGGTATAGAAATCGAACCAAGAGCAGATTATGATTTGTTTTACGAGAATCGTAAAGCTGTAATGAACGAAGTACAACTTAATATAGCGAAGGAAATTTGGAACTTCTTGTAATGAAAATTATATTTGTAAACGTTTATGATTTGGAGCTTATAAGTAAATTTTAATTATTATCGTTTATAGTTTGTGCTATTTATTAATAATAATAATAATAATAATAATAATAATAATAATATTAATAATAATAATAATAATAATAATAATAATAATAATAATAATAATATTTTGTATTTGATCTGAACTTATTTTTTCTGGTCTGATCTGATCTGAACTTATTTTTTCTGGTCTGATCTGATCTGAACTTATTTTTTCTGATCTGATCTGATCTGAACTTATTTTTTTTTGATCTAATCTGATCTGAACTTATTTTTTCTGAAATAAGTAAAAATACGGTGAACTAAACAAGGCCTAACCGTAAGGCTCATCGCTCAGAATACTATCATGACAAGTCATGATCCCGGTTATACATAAGGCATACTTCTCAGTAGATCATCAAAATTTGATATGCTCTTAGCTGTCAACAAGTCGTCATCTATTATCAGGTCTACCTCTTGGACTATTTTACAACAAGTTAGATGTTGCAATTAAAACACCTCTAATGCATTGCTTGGGGGCTGGTTTTCACCCTTGCAAGTCGCTTGGGGCTCGTTTTTAGCCCTCGAGTACTCCTAAAAGCTATTCCGGGTCACATTACAACCTCTCAGCTTCAATTGCACTCATTCCGCGTGACATCCGAACTTCACGCGATCTCGTTCACACATCACGCGTGGGGCTAAATGTTTGGGCCTAGTCCATGTCCTAAACCCAATGATCTGAAATGACGAAAATACCCCTCCATGATCTAGCCCATCATTAATCATTGCAAAGTACAGATTTACCCCTAATCTGTCCACTCAAGTACAACTTTGTCACCTGAAAAGTACAGCTATAAATAGCTCATCATTCATTAATTATGGAAACTTTTTCCTAATTCTTTCTGCTCTCTCTACTTTCTCTCTCTAAGTACATTCTCTCTCTCTAGAAATTACATTCGCTGACTTAAGCATCGGAGGGGCTTTCCCGGGTCACACCCCCGGGGCAGCTAACCTTCTCTGTTTTGCAGGCCTAGCTCTCAGGCGTCAAGGCGGAGCCCTCGGACATACCTTAGCAAGGCGGAGCTCTCTGACTCGGACAATCATTGGACTTAGTTTCTAGGACATCTTGATATCCTACCCTAACACTCCAAGGAGTATTCTGTTTCCAGAAACAATTACGTATTGAAGCATGATCATATAATAGATTCTTGATTAAGATTAATTTGGGGAGTAAGTACTCGTTAAACTAGCTGCTTCATTCTCTACTTTAATAATCTTGAACCCATATTAACCTTAATCAACAATTGATGATCCGTTTCTAATTAATATGCCGCATTTTAATATTTTATTTAAGCATGATCATATAACAGAATATGTGACCAAACCCTATAAATCGTTAATGTACTCGATCATTATTAATTTGCCAATTTAGGGGAGATCAGAGATTATTATTTAGGAAGAACAATTCAACCCACAATTAGAATTTAAGTGCGTCGTAGACTTCGTAGTATGTAACTATGTATATTTTGGGAGTATAATTTAGACTGTGTAACAATATTAATATATGATCTCCTTTGCAATAATATTCTCCAAATATAGTTAGATTCAATAATCAAATTACCATATCATAAAAAAATTGCCTCAATATTGAAGTTGGAAAGAGGACTGATGCTACGGATAAATAATTAAATCATACATTCACAACTTTAGCATATATATATGAATATTCATATTGTTGAGCAGTATGGACATATTTTATGGTCATCACACCCTTCTAAGGATATTAGTAGTAGCATTAGCAGAACCAGAACGACGAGCAACATAAGCTCTAAGAGAAGGGGATTGTGAAAGGCGGTCCGGTGCAACCGTGGTAAAATTCTGGTTACGGTTTTTGTGTTGAATTCTTCTCCTAGCTATGTAACCTCCGATCCACGGGGTTACATCCTCATTGATTTTGATCACGATGAAGAAGATTATTCGATAAACTATGATCATGCTGAATATCACGCTAAGGTCCAACCATTTTGAACGTGTTGTATCAATCTGAAATACATATTCGAGTACGTACTCCCCGGAAATCTTTGGAAGATCCGGTGTCCGGTTGTCGAATACCACCCCTTTCAGATCATTTTGGTATTGTCCCTGTATATACAATAACATTTAGCACCATTGTCATAACATTGACATTTACTATCTAATTTTTAAAGAAGTAAAACATATAGTTGTGTCAAAAGTAAAAATATAGCTAAAATCTATCATATGATATAAGTTTACATGTTTACCGTTATATATTCAAGTAATTTTTACAGGAGAGTTAGATAAATGAACTAATTGTTCATTTATAGTAAGTTGTACGAAGAAGTTTCATTTCATTTCTTAAAGCAGAGAAGCAGCTAGTATAGTGGAGTAAGTACCTGGAGAGCCCAGAAATGGAAACTGATGTAAGACATAGGATAACGCCATACTGGCTTTGGTATGTCGTTAGGAAGCCGGAAGAAACCCGAAACAAGCATGAAAATTCCCTGAAAATAAGGGCAGAGTACATGAAGAAATTCATTGGTGAATCATATGTCTACATAGAATTATTTACATGAGAATCTAGATTTTTTTTACCTGTATGCCAGCTCCAGTGATAATACCCATGAGAAAATTGGGGACAATGCTCGCGATAGCCATCATTAGACTCTCAACAACGGTGACACTTGCATAAAGACAGAGTACAAAGAAGATGTAGTGCTCGAAGCCAGGGTGGAGACGAACCATGAAGTAACAGACAGTGCCCGAAAGAAAGGTAATCATCATTAGGAATGGCATTGCAGATATTGTGTTGCTGACCACAAACGCTGTTACTCCATAGTGTCCATTCAACCTTTCTCTTTGGAATACCTGAAAGTAACAACCATTAATTACTCTTATGTTGTACTTGTTTTTTATTCTTCTTATTTGTGTGGCCTAAGATGCTTTTGAAATTTATGAAATCAAGTTCAAAATTAATTTAGAGAAGTACAATGGAGACAATATGGCTGAAGGTACGAGAATTTTACCTTCATATCTTCAACAAATGACGGAAATCCACCAATAGACATAAATGTGACAAAGCCGAAAACAAATGATGCACAAGAGCCTCTAGCCTGTAACAACAAAGAAAATGCAGCAACGGCGGACAGTTATGATCAAAATGTACATTGAATGAAATAATGAGATGATTTTCGGGAAAAAAAAAAAAAAGATATTTTAATATTATTGGTAAGTTAATTACCAGTATGGCGTTGAAACTAGTTCCAACATTGAAAAAGATTGATCCGATACAGACAGTGACCACGACGTAAATCACCAGCCTGAGCCAGTAGTAACCGAAGTCTCTTGACATGTTTGTGAACGAACGTTTAGTTAAGGTGAACGTCTGCATCAAGAAGCTGGCCTGGCTTCCTCCCGAGTCTATAACAGTTCCTTTCTGTCAAAGTTTACAGCAAATAATTTGAGCATCGAACAAACAGGAAAGGAAGAAACAAATAAGGTAAAAGGAAATAGACGAAAAACTTACCACTTTAGAGATTTCTTCTACCCTCTGTAGTGCTGAATAAGACTGTTGAGAGGTGGCATAATAGCTAATCAGAGTTCGAGTAGCTTCTGCTGTTGTGATCTTCTCTAACGGGTCATCACTTGCTTCAAACTAGTTAATCATAGCGATTTGTAACATTCATTACTATCTCATAAAATTGTTAGAGATATATGCAAAATTAGTTGACATTTACCCGTAATTTCATTGATCCTTTAAGAGTAGCCTTGACTTTGTCAAAATCAGAGTTGATACACCTAAGGAAGTGATCAGATGGATTCCTCAAAGCAGGGCAAGGAAAACCGGCTTGAGCGAAGAACTACAATATTATTTCATCATTGAATTAATAAAATTTGACAAATTACCTAAATAAAACAGTTAATGACGACCAAAGAAACAAACAATGTAAAGACTTGACACTAATTACCTCATATGCCTCTGAAGCTTGCCCGAAATAAACAGTCTTTCCACCAGAAAGCAAGTACAAACGATCGAACAACTCGAACACCTCACTACTAGGTTGATGAATCGAGGCAATTACAGTTCTTCCGTCTCTGGATAGTCCACGTAAGGTTTCTGTCACAAAGAACGCAGACGCACTGTATGTTGATCATTCAACAATGAACTTATGTTAGTATACATTATCTTTAATCGACGAATGACTTAAAACATAATTATGCAAGTAAAATTGGTTTCGATGTAAATTAAAGTAACCTGTCTAGACCACTAGTAGGCTCGTCGAGGAAGAGCAATCGCGGTCTCATAAGAATTTCGACAGCTATACTAACCCTCCGCTTCTCCCCACCACTAATCCCCCTCAAATGCCAGTTTCCAACCACAGTATCAGCACAATCTTGAAGTCCCATTTCGATGATGGTGCTTTCGATCAAAGCTTGCTTCTCCGACCAGGGCATTTTATCCGGTAAACGAAGCCGAGCTGAATATGCTATTGTTTCTCTCACTGTTAATGTCCCAATCAAGTTATCATCTTGTGTTACATAAGCCTGCATTCATACACAACACTGTATCACATATTCATATTATACAACATTTTTAGAAATTGAAACATTGTAATAAAAGGTAATGTTATAAATTTAATGTTACATCAATCTAAAATTGGCAAGCTAAGAGATTAAATCTAAAAACAACATTACTCCGTAGTAATTTTATTTAATTTAAAGTACAGTGTAATCTAATTTTATCTATCAATTTAAGAGGTTATGAAGTACAGTCTACCAACAACATGGGTAAAGTAAGCCAATTAATATCATTTATTCTTCTTACCACTTTCTACCTAACTAATTTTATTTAATAACCGAATTTTAATAACAATCTTTAATGATCAATTGACGATTAATGAAAAGTTCCCATTACCACAAAAAAATAATAATAATAATTTTTCTGAAATAATATATGACCAATAACCATTCTTTCTCATTTAAAAACAAACTTAAAAAAAATAATCGATTTAAGTATAGAATAAGACTCCTATTAATTTTTTCCTTTTTCGTGTTATATTTAACTTTTCATTAGTAAGAAATTAAATAATTTGTGTAAATAAATTACTATTTAGAGTATATCAGATCTGCTAAAAGATAGTAGAAATATACTAAATGAGGTTCAATTTTGTTTTATAACAACAAAATTATATTAGAGCAAGGTACATTCTTGTTGTTACATACGACAAAAATAAATCAAAGGAAGTTTCAATTTTGTTTTTGTTAATAGAAACCATCATTTAATTAAAATAAAAACAAAAACAAAAAAAAAACACTGTCTTAAAAGTTCTTCTACATAACTAGACCGCGTTAGTCGTATAATATTTTTATTTAGAAACGAAGGAAGTATAAAAAGACGATAATAGGTTGGTAGCTTACCGCGGTGCCGAAAGAGAGCTTAGTTTTGCGACCATTAAGCAAGATAGTACCAGAGAGAAAAGCATTAGCAGCAAGACGGCTCGAAAGAGCGTCAAGAAGAGTAGATTTACCAGAACCAGAAGGACCCATAAGAGCAGTAAAAGTACCAGGTTCAGCATAACCTGTTAAACTTTCTAACACAGTTTGAGTATCACCGCTACTTAATGTTACCATTACTATTAGATCTTTCCATGTTAGTCTCGCCGATACGTCGCCAATGAAGTCGGCTTTTGTCATAACATGATCTCGCCATAGTGTCTCACTTAAGGGACTTAACCCCGGTATCGACACCGTTGTCGTCGAAGATATCCCATGATTGTTGTTGTTGTTATCATGTTGGGGTTTGTTTGATTCTATCTCCATTTGTTTGTTTTTATGGTGAGTTCGTTTTGAGAGGAAGAGAGAAGTTTTATTGTGAGATGTAATTTGTGTATTTATAAAGAGAGAGAAGAGAAGAGAGGAGAGAGAAGTGTAAGGAAGTGATGAAATGAGAATTGTATGGAGAGAGGGGAAATATTCGTGAATTTGACTAGGACTCTTGGAGGTTGGGGAGATATTATTGGACAACAATAAGGTATATTTATTTTTACTTAGATGTTAGTCCATTTTATTTGCATGCTTAGACAAAATAAGGTTAAGGTTAAGGATATATATATATATATATATATATATATATATTGATCTTAATTAACTTCTTATTTAGTAAGTATTTTAACAAATTGTTCAATTGGATTCAATTCGTTTTGTGTACAAGTCATCTCTTTTTCCATTTTTAAGTTTACAAGAAATAGTTTTAAGGAAAATAAAAAAAGTTACATATATAACAAGTTCGGAGAGATATTATAATTTTGAGTCAAATCATGCATTTACGTACACATTTTAGGGTGGGGTACATATTTAACCTCAAGTTGTAGCTCAAGCTATTTGATTAACAAGCGAGCTAAGTTAATCCATTAGATTCAAATTAAAAAACAATTATTTGATCCATTTTTTGCGAGATCTACTACTCCGTACTAATCAATACGTCCTAATCTCTTAAGTCAATATATGATAAGACACTTAGTAGAAAGGTTGTTACTTATCAATCAATCAAGTGTAAGTACACGATAGAGTGAGCTTAATCACAATTAATATTATTGTTGGAGTAAAATAGACCATAATATAGAGCAATTAGTTAAAATTGGATGAGAAAGAAGAAAAAAGCAAGAAATAATAAATGAGAAACAGGTAGAAGTTGGAAGGGGTGCAATAAATGGGAGGGTATACCATACTGATTGCAATGCCAACCCTCGAAAATAAAAGCATTTACTACTTTTTGTTTTTTTAGTTTTAAATTTTTATATTTAAATTATATTGTCGAAATGAGATGAAATAACGGAATTGCAAAATGCAAGCTGGTTGGGGTATACGCCTCGCAACGCGGTCCGTCGTTTCGACATTTTATGGTGTGTTCACGAACTTGGGCTTCTTAATATTGTGGGGGACCTATTCCTTATTATTAAGGTATCATTCACATTGTTATACAATAACTATACAAGTATATATGGAGTTTCATACCTTACTAGTTTTATTGGTAAAGAGGACTTAAGGGTCCTTTATACGGCGTAAATTCAACCATATAGCCGACGTTGTTGTTGTTGATGCTGTTTCTTTGTTTTTGGGGTTTTCAGACCTTGTTTAGTCGTCTATCTAACATTATGCCACACTGCCACTCATATACTAAGATAATAATAAAAATAATGGAGTGTCATTTAAATAAAAAATATATATATATTTTGGGAAGCAATAATCAACATATTCATACCTTTTTCTAAGGAAATTATGAGCAAATTCATGATAAATTTTTTATCTGAATTAAGGTCCTTCAATTCACCTTATTTTCATGATTTCATAAGATTTAAGTTTGGATGAGTTAAGTTTAGAAAAAAAATAAGTTTGTTAAAGGTTATCCAAAATTAAATCAAAACAAAAATAAGTTCTAATAAGATTATAAGTTAGATAATTGAAAATTAAGTTAAAATATAATACAACCTATATTCTTTCGTCAATTGTTAGCAAAAACAATATTATAGGTGATCAAAACGTCTTTATAAGCTAGTAACGGGCTAAGGTAGTTGAGTAGGAAAATATTTTGGAACAAAGCATTTGCATTGCATTTCTTTAGCTTGTTCTCGATATTGAGCCTCAATAGCCGAGGAGGATCGAAGCAATTGAGCAAGTTTTTGCACATCGGCAGAGGACTAAAACTTTTATAGCAAAGCAACAATAGTTGACTAAGATACATTACGATTGGTGCCTAATCAGTATATATAGCTTGGTTAAACTCAATCTTTCAAATTAGTTGATTAAAAGTTGATCTCTTACACCAAATTGCTGTTGCTTGATTGCAATTTAATTTAGTTTCATAGTTTTAAGCCTATGACTTGTGAGGTTGGGATCCAATAAGAATTTCTTAAAATGAGAAGAATGAGAAGGGTGAAATGTGCAAAAGTTTTTCACTAAATATGCATAATTTTTTCACTAGTGTACATAACTGATTTTCGAAATAATAAATTTTTTGAATTTTCTGGAAAATCAGAAAATATGCACATTATGTTCAAAATTTATGCACATCGAATTTGGGTCAAATTTTTGTACGCACATATAGTTAAAAAAATATTCACATTTAGTACAAAAATTATGCACATAAAATCCTCTCATCCTTCTCATTTGACCCTCTATATATATATATATATATCATTTCCATTTTCACAGCCAAATTTTTAAAAAAATTTGACTAAAATGTATACATTCATAACATCAACTTTTATGATTTTTGTTGTTTTGGGTATTTTTACCCAGGACACATGGTCCAATGGGAAGGTGACACGTGTCAATTCAAGTTAGGTTCCCAGAAAACCAATCCCCTACTGACACTTGGCATCTCCAATGATTGGGAAGAATTGGGGCCTTTCTGGCCCAATTCCCAAGGGAGCCCACCATTCCTAGGTTTCCGTAACCTAGGATGGCGGCACGCATTCTGATACCCTATAAATAGGGAGATGTTCCCATCATGGGACTCATTAAGAAACATTCATAAAAAACAGAGCAATCATTAATTGCAGATATTCTCTCGGAATCCGAGAAGATACTTTACTTTTCGCACTTATTACAGACTCCATACACGTTTTAACTTGATCGTTGGAGGCGTAACTCCATCCAACCGGAGTCTCCGTTGTTTTGCAGGTATAGGCGCGAGGATCCAGTCTTGGTGTTGTAACTCTCCCGCAGGACATCAAAAAACCCCGAAACATTTGGCGCCGTCAGTGGGGAGAGTACTTCTAAGATGACTTCGCAAGAACCTGTACCACCTCCTAATGAGAAACGACCCTTAGTCGGAGTAGAGGTCTATACAAACCAAGACAGTGGTGACGACTTCAATGTTGACACCTATGTGGCCCCAGACGGGTCACTTAGAACAAGGTGCACCCGTTCCTTAGAAATCAAGGAATGGGGTATTGATCAGGCTGGCCCAAGTGTGCCAATTAAAAAGCCGTCTGAACCCCAGGCGGCAGAAGGCGCAGCCCATGTCAATCGAAATGAACTCATGGAATTCATGACAAGTTTCAAAGGGGAAATCAAGGATCTGATTAACAAGAAGACGGCTGGCTCCATCAGGGGTCAGTTGGCCAAAAAGAAAAAGCCAGTCAAGGACTGTGTGCCTACTCCACATCCCAAACCAAGAGATGAGAACCGACCCTTGATTGATCTGTCTAAAATCCGATTCCCTGAAACAAAAAAGAGGAAGGTCATCCGGCAAGTTCAGCCGGATGGATCAAAAAAGACTTACTCGGATGACATGATAGTCAAATCCAGCAAGAGAGGCTGTGTCACTTGATGAATTTCATCTAAGTCAGGTGCCCCCGTCAGAGAATAATCAGGCGGATGCTCTTTCCAAATTAGCGTCATCCGCCTCCTATGACGCACCTAGAACGGTTTTTCGGGGAGTCATTGAGAAGAGAAGCATTGATCATGACCTCATAGGTATCCTGGACCGAAGTGCCACCTGGATGGACCCCATCCGGGCTTATTTGGCAGACGGTACCTTACCGGATGACCCTTCTAAAGCAATGGCGCTCAAGAAGCGTGCTCTGAGCTTTGTTATGCATCATGGAGAACTTCTCCGGAAGGGTTATCTGCAGCCGTTTCTAAAGTGCGTAACCCCTGAAAGGGGAAGAGAGGTTCTAGAGGATCTGCATGCGGGATTTTGTGCCTCACACATAGGCGGCAGGTCCTTGGCAAGAAGAACTAGACGGCAGGGTTACTTTTGGCCCACTCTTGAGGCAGACACCATGGATTTGGTGAAACGGTGTGATAAATGCCAAAAGTTCGCCCGGCTGATACATCGACCGGCAACTGACTTGACAGCCATCCATAGTCCGGTTCCGTTCGCAAAATGGGGCATGGACATCTTGGGTTCGTATACACCTGCCACAGGCGGTTGTCGATATATTTTGGTGGCAGTAGATTACTTCACCAAATGGGTTGAAGCAGAGGCGGTCAAAGGCATAAAAACAAAGGACGTGATCTCCTTCATTTGGAGAAATGTCATCACCCGGTTTGGGGTTCCAATATCTATGGTCTTTGATAATGGACCTCAATTCGAAACGCCTGTCCTCAAGAGCTGGTTGGGAGACCAAGGAATCTCCCATTGTTTTGCATCCGTTGGCCGTCCCCAGGCAAACGGACAGGTCGAGGCCTTCAATAAACTGATCTTAGACGGTATAAGGAAGAAGGTGGAAAGAGCCGGTGGACTATGGGCAGAGGAACTACCTCATGTCCTTTGGGCCATCAGGACCACTGAAAAAGGGGCAACCGGTTAAACCCCATTTCTCATGACATACGGCACTGAGGCGGTGCTCCCCATTGAACATTATGAGCCAACGCTTCGCATCATGCTATATGATGAGGCGGCCAACTGGGAAGCCATGCGGCTTGCACTGGATGCTCTCCCAGAGCGAAGGGGCAACGCAGTTTTACGTCATGAGATTTACCGCCTGAGAATGACAAGAGCCTACAACAAGCGGGTTCACAAACGACCCCTGAAAGTAGGAGATTTTGTGCTTCGCAAAATGGAAGCAACCGGGAGGGCCAATGAACAAGGCAAAGTGACTCCAAATTGGGAGGGACCCTACCGAATATTTGAAGAAGTACGAGATGGCACATACCGCCTGGAAGCACCAGACGGTAGAAAACTGCCTAGAACATGGAATGTAGATAATCTCAAAAAGTACTACTTCTAGAAATGGTATAGCTATTGTATATTTCTATATAATTAACGAGAAAGATTTACTACATATAGTGCCTCCATGCGCCATGTCTTGTGCTTAACACAAGCGGCTCCCTTTACTTATTACCCATGCGCCCTGTCTTGTGCTCAACACAAGCGGGCCCGGAAATTTCTTGAACCAGCCGGTGACGCCCATTCGAGTGAATTCATCGAAGAGAACATCTCCCATTTGGGTGGAAAATTGTTCTAGTGATCAAAAATCAGGCGGCCCTAACCGCCTGATTGATCCATAGCACCAAAGAATTGCGGGTTAGCATTCCCAAACATGCATCCGGCCCCCTCTTTGGATCGAGTACCATTTAAGGCTGATCTCAAAACAGACAGCCGGTACCTAATGTCCCGCCTGATCAACTAAGAGAAGGCAGGCAGGCAAACATTTGGGTTAGGCCAATAATCTATGGTGTTCTTGCGAAAACCCAACCGGCAAATCGTTAAAAACGGTTGGCACTTAGCAATTAGCTAAAACCTTAGCATTTGCGCTATAGCATATGGATAGCCGCCTAGCACCATTTCGGGTATACCAGTCTCCTATCCAGGGGCAATTACCTACCCTAACCCCAACAAGTCATGCGGAAACACATTCATTCAAAAAGCATGCGGAAAAACATTCATGGTTTGACTTTTTGAAAAACACCAGTACTCATGGTTGCTACCACCATAGTTTACACAAGGCAAAAAATAGAATTGCTTGCGAAGACCCAGACGGCAGAGATACCGGCTGGGTTCTCTTGTCTACCCTCGCAAATTTCTTTGCCTAGCTTGCGAAGACACAGACGGCGGTGACGCCGGCTGGGTTTTCTTGGCTATCCTCGCAAAATTATCAAAGCAAGAAAGATGCGACATTCACGACATTCAAAACAGCAAAAAGGAAAAGAAGCAAATTCATTCAAAACCGGACCAACCGGTTGAAATATAGCAGAAATAACCGGCATAGCCGGTGAAAATGTTAAAATTGTTTACAAGATAAACCGGCACAACCAGTGAAAATATCAGTGCTCAAAATAAAATACAATAGCAGAGTAATCCAACCCTTCCGGCGCTATTACAAGATAATGCACGGCGCGCAGGCCGGGAGGTTGTTGCTACTCTACATTCACTGTTACCCGGTCGCCCTGAGCCTGGCTCCCTTCCGGATGAGCCGGGTCGGCGTTGGGGACGGAGCCGGGAGCAACCTCATCCTCGACTGTCGTCTCCAAAGCAGTCGCTTCCGCCTGCATTCGCTGGAACTCGGCTTCCACCCATTGCTCATACGGTCCGGGCCCCGGCTGGCCCTCCTCTTCAGCCAGAATGGCAAGGTCTGCGTACTTGTAGGCGAGCTCCCAGACGTTGTAATCTACACCCGGGTGGATGATGGAGAACGCCCTCTTCATTCTGTTTTGGCAGTCCTGCTCATTCTCCTCTATGAGCCGGCTCTGATCAACCTCTAGGGTGGACTGGAAATTACGCTGAGCTTCGGCAGCCTCCTTGACCAGGTGGTCATTCTCTAATAGCAGTCGTTCGCTGCTCTTCTCCGCCTGGTCGAGCCGCTTGAGGGGCTCTTCATGCTTTTTTAGCTCGTCTTCAGCATTATCCAGGGCCGCCTGGAGGTTGTCCAGCTTGAGCTTTTGCTCGGAGAGGGCCCGTTGGAGGGACTTGACCTGATCCGTCTGTTGCATGATTATAGCTTTAGTTTCTAAGTCATGCACAATCATGGAATAGTGAGAAACGCTATGTGCGTCATCCGCAGAACATTTGGCTCTTCTTACCTCTTCCTGTTTGCGGATGTAGGCCTTCTTAAGCCCCTCCACGCGGAGCAGTGCCTGCAACAATAACACACCCGGTATTAGTTGAAAGACCGGATGGGTTTACTACAAATAAAATGTCGGGTGGGTACTCAGTGACTTACATCGGCCAGGTCGACCATATCCCGGTCGGCATTGAAGGTATTGATTCTAGGAATCGCCTCCTTCTCATCCCGGGGGACGGCTTTCAGCATGGCCCGGGCGTATTGAGCAGCGTCCGGCCAGCGTGGTGAGTTATCTGCACCAGAAACAGACGGTGAGAATGCTGCATACGCTCCACCAACGGACAGTCGGCTGATCGGAGAATCTCCCGGCTGCGAAGAGGAGTACGATTTTACCCGCAAGGGTATGTCGAGCAATGTGAGATCGAAAGGGCTTGTACCTTTTTGAGAAGCCTTTTGGCTTCCAGAAGCAGATGGACTGGTTGCGGTCTTTATTGGAGTGGCCTCTAAGGCCTTCTCAGTGTTAGACCCGCCTGGGGTCTTTATTGTTTTACCGCCGGTTGTAGCCCGGTCGGTAGAAGCAGTTCTTGGCACCTTGAGTGCCGGTTCTTCAACAGACGGCCTTTGCCGGATCTGTTTTTGCAAGGAACGGGGAATAACACCCCCATCCTGAAACAAGACCGCAAACGGTTAGATGAATAAAACAGCTAAAACAACATCAAAGCCAAGCATAGAGAAGGTCAGGCGGGCTAACCTTCTTAGCCGCCTGAGCGGCAAGTTTCTTCTCCAGATTCTCCTTTTGGATATTTGAAGCCTTTTTTGCGGGTGTCTTGGCGGTGGGCAGCATCTTCTTGGCTTCTTCTGCAAAACGAAAGTACATCCGGTCAGATATATGAATCTTACATTGCAATCAAGAGAAAAAGGTTAGCCGGCATCAAAATTAACCGGCTAGGGTTCGTAACCTTTGGTTTTAAACATGCTGCTAAGCCCACAGGCGGACAAGAAGCACTCATCTTTGAAAAATTCGTGTTTGGGCAACCAGTTCTTGGGTACCCTTATTATCTCTCCGGTTGAGAGAGAGGTAGAGGTCAATTCAAAAAATCCGGAGTCCAGAATGGCCCTCCTATCATTATCAGGGACTGGGGGCAGCCGACACTTCTGCCCCATAAGCTCTGGTTTCCGGTTGTAGGTCTGGTACTCCCTGTTTTCCTCTTCAGACGGGGCCTTGACCAGGTAGAACCGGTTCTTCCAGTCCGACCATTTAGACGGCTTGTCTAAGGTCATCATGTACTGGGGGTGAGTGGTCAGGGTGTACCAGGCCCTCCAGCCGCCTGGGCTCCGGCTCAAGTAGTGCATATGGGAAAACGCCTCCCAGCCGGGGTTGAGACCCTACATCTCGCAGGCGGCGATGTACCCTAAAATATTCACCCAAGAATTTGGGGTGAGCTGCCAAACGCCAAGGCCATACCCCCTAAGTATGGCCCTGATTGTGTTGTGAAGGGGGAAGCGGACACCAGCTAGGAAAGCCGCCTCGTAGCATCCAAACCAACTGTTAGCGTTGGGTTGGTCATCTTCCTATACAACCGTCCCGAACTCCCCCGGTACGGTCATCTTGTATCCTTCACCAAGCGGCCGCCTGGTGATAAAGTCTTGTAGAGAAGACCGCATGAGGGCGCGGTCCTTCAAGGAGACGGCGATCATGAGAGGGTCGTTTCTGCTTTGCCATGAAGGCCTCTCCGCCTCCTCGCTATCTTCTGATACGGTTAAGTAGCTGGAGCTACTGCTTTCAACCCGGCCGTCATCAGAGCCGGCTGGGGAGTTGGGAGTATCATTGGCAGCTTCTGGCTGCTCAGCCTCCTCAGCCAGAGAGGTCTCCTCGTCGGAGCCTAGAATGCTATCGCTTGGGGTGGCGGGGGTACCGTCGGATGGTTCTCTAACCTCCCCGTCTGGGCCTCGAGTTTCAGGCGATAACTCGTTCGAGTCCCCGCCTCTGTAATTGGGGTCCATAGTTGTTCCCCTAATTCTGGACATGGTGTTCTGCACAGACACAGAGTCGGTCGATACAGGCGTTGAAAAGGGGAAATTCCAAAGATCAGAGGCGGCAGATCCAGTTCTAGACTCAGCCGTACTAATTAACCGGCTGAGTTCACAACTATAGTCCGGGTTTGGGTATAAAGGATCCATCTACCTAGGGGAATTATAAACAAAAATGCAAGCAAAAGACGCAAATGGTACCTAGAGTAAAGTGGTGAAAACCTCAAGAAATTTCTTGGGGATGCTTGCGAAGACACAGGCGGTTTGAATACCGGCTGGGTTCTCTGAGGTACCCTCTCAAAAATATTTTGCTTGCTTGCTACTGCACAGGCGGTCAGAAAACCGGCTGCTCTTAAAGCTATGAAGTCTCCGCGTGCTCTGAATTTCAAGTACCAGATGCTTTGAAATGCCGGATGCTCTCAAAATTCAAGAAATTTCACGAAGTTTGTAAATGAGCTCTCGTGTGCTTCCTCCCCTATTTATAGGGGTTGTTCCGGAAGGCGAAGGGGCGCGACCTTTCCCCTTCTGCTTTTCCCTCTTCCTTCAGTTAGAATTTGAAGGGGTTTCAAAAAAAAAAAAAAAAAAAAAAAAAAAAAAAAAAAATTGTGAGCTCTCTTCTCAGGTGCCACGTGGCACCTTGCCACATCAGCACCTGAGAGGGGCAAATGTTTGGGGTAAAATCACCCCAGCCGCGTGGCCCAATGGCTAAGCGAAATGTGGCACCTTGCCATTGGTAAGCAGGGCTCCAATCCCCTGCTGACACGTGTTCTAGGAACCCTAAATGGGGAACCAATGCTCCCCACTATAAATAGTGGGAGAATCCTCATTAATGGGGCAATTCAATGGGCATTCAATACAATCATAAATACACTTACACTAAAACCGAGCAATTGCGGAATTCTCCCATTACGCGAGAAGTAATTTTACGCTTTACGCACTTTCTTCCTCCCGTACATCACTGACTTGATCGTCGGAGGCGGAGCTCCACCCAACCGGAGTCTTCGTGGTTTTGCAGGTACAGGCGGTCGAAGGGCATTCTTGGAATTGTAACTCTCCCACAGGACACATCAGAAAACCCTGAAACAGAAACCATACGTCCCTAAGTACGAGTTCAACAAGGACTGTTACTCCATCCTCATGGAGATCAAAGACCGGGTAACTATTGAGAAACCGGCAGCAATTAAAAGTTCCACCAAAAGTCGGGATAAAAGCAAATATTGTCATTTCCATGATAATATAGGCCATGACATTAAAGACTGCTATAGCCTCAAGCGGTTGTTGGACCATCTGGCTGACAAAGGGGTGCTAAAGTCCTACATTTTGAAGTCTAAGGTGACCTTTAGAACCAATAGTGGGCAGCCATCTAAAAAGTCAGACCAACTTGCTTTGAGCTTAGACACTGATGAAAAGCATATTTATACATAGCATGTGGTTTTGTGGGAGGGGGTCCCACCATCCGGGGCACCAAGGACTACGTCAGAAGGCTAGATGTCAACTCAGTTGATGAGGGCAAGACGTCGAAAGATACCTTCCCTGAGGTCGTCATCTCAAAGCAAGATAGGGGTAAGGTTAGGCGTCCACATGATGATCCCATAGTCATCGAATGCAAGGTCAGCAATCAACGAGTGGGCCGGATCCTCATTAATACCGGAAGCTCGTCTGACCTTATCAGCTACAAGTGCTTGGCAAAGCTCAAGTACAATCCTAGCAGCTTGCACAAAGTCCCCCACCCCTTAGTCGGTTTTGGGGGTTGGGTAGCGCATCCGGTGGGGAGGATTGACCTGCCTATACGGCTGGGAGAAAAGGGGGAAGGACACCACATGGTTGTCAAATTCTTGGTGGTTGAAGAATTGACCGCCTACAAATTGATTTTCTGCCGTCCAACCCTCAATGAGTCCAAGGCAGTCATCATCCCATCCCTCATGTTGCTGAAATTTGAGAGGGATGATGGGTCAGTGGGTTCCCTAAATGGGGATCAGAAGACGACAAGGGAGTGTTACCTCTTAGACGTCAAGCCTACTGTGGCTGCAGCCGGCCAAGGCGAAGAGCCCATTGACCTTGATGACTTCAAGGAATTCGCGCCTGCTCGTAAGGCAGCCGGTGAAAAGAGGAAGGCAGGCCAGTTGGTGGCCGTCAAAAAAGAAAAGCAATAGCAATCACTGACCGGAGAACGTACGGATGAACTCCGTCCCCAGCCGGCTGGTGAGCACATTGATATTGTTCTAGATCGTCCAGAACGCACTGTTAAGGTGGGGACGGCTGCTTTTGCTAAATTGGGTGTAGACCTGCACAACCTATTGAAAGAGTTCGAAGACATCTTTACCTTTGAAGTGGAAGAGATGCCAGGCGTTTACCCAGATCTTACTGTCCACAAACTCGCCGTGGATCCAAAAACGAAGCCGGTTAGGCAAAAGAAAAGAAATCACAACACGGAAAGGTCTCAAGCGGCTGCCGCCGAGGTCAAGAAGTTGATGGATGCAGGGTTCATTCGGCAATGTTACTACCCGGATTGGGTAGCAAACGTCGTTCTTGTGAAAAAGTCGAATGGTACCTAGCGCATGTGTGTTGATTACACAAATCTGAACAAGGCATGTTCGAAGGATAGCTACCCACTTCCAAAGATCGACAGTCTGGTCGACTCTACAGTCGGTCATGCCTTGATGAGCTTTATGGACGCCTACTCAGGCTTTCATCAGATACCCTTGTGGAAAAAAGATCAAGAAAAGACGACATTCGTCACTGATCAGGGGTTATTCTGTCACACTGTGATGCTGTTTGGCTTGAAGAACGCGCCTGCTACCTTCCAACGAATGATTAATACAATCTACATTAATCAAATTGGGAGGAATGTAGAGGCATACATAGATGACAAGATAGTCAAATCCAAGCAACACGCGGATCGCCTTACTGACCTCCAAGAAACGTTCACCACCCTCAGGCGGCACAAGGTCATGCTCAATCCCAAGAAGTGTATCCCTAGTATTGAGTCTGGGAAGTTTCTCGGATTTTTTATTGATCAAAGGGGGATAGAGGCTAATCTAGAAAACGTACAGGCGGTAATTAACATGAAGTCACCCCGCACTGTCAAAGAAGTTTAAAAGTTAACAGGTTTCCTGGCGGCATTGGGGAGATTCCTTAGCCGGTCAGGTGACAAGTGCCTCTACTTTTTCCAGGCAATAAAAAAGAAGACAAGATTTGAATGGGAAGAAGATGCTGAGGCGGCATTTCAGAAATTGAAGGAGCACTTGCATTCATTGCCAAGGCTTGTTAGCCCTATACCACAAGAGATGCTTTACATGTATTTGGCCATCTCAGATCATGCCCTTAGTGCCGTACTCTTGGCTGAAAGAGACGGCGTCTAGCTTCCAGTCTACTTCATTAGCCATGTTCTTCGAAATGCTTAACTACGCTACCCCATGGTTGAAAATTTTGGCCTCGCTCTTTTCATGGCAGTCAAGAAGTAAAAACTATACTTCCTAGCACATCTGGTTGTGGTCTATACAGATCAACCCCTCAAGTGGCTAATGACAACTTTGGAGTCATCCGGCAGGATGCTCAAATAGGATATTGAGATGCAGGGTCTTGAAATCACTTTCGAACCTAGGAAGGCAGTGATCGGTTAGGCGTTTGTCGACTTCATTGTCGCAATGACAAGGCCGGCAGAGCCGGAGAATCTTGACCAGGTTTGGAAAGTGTATGTAGACAGGAGCTCGACTATGAACAACTGTGGTGCATGGGTTATATGCCAGTCTCCTAAAGGGGAAAAGTATAAATATGCACTACGGTTCAAGTTTCAAGCCTCAAATAATGAGGCAGAATATGAAGTCCTGCTAGCTAGTATCCGCATGTGTAAGGCGGTAGGGGCAAGAAAAGTAGACGCCTGCTCTGATTCACAACTGATTGTAAGTCAATACCATGGTGACTATGAGGTCACCCATCCGGCTATGATTAAATACTTGTAGGCAGTCAAAGAAGAGGCCGGAACACTTGATGAATTTCATCTGAGTCAAGTGCCTAGGTCAGAAAACAATCAGGTGGATGCCCTCTCCAAACTGGCATCATCCGCCTCCTGTGATACGCCTAGGTCAGTCTTTTGGGAAGTTATGGAAAAGAAAAGTATTGAACAAGATCCCATTGGAATTCTGGACCAAAGCTCGACCTGAATGGATGGCATCCGGACTTATCTCACAGACGACACTTTGTCGGATGCATACTCAGAAGCTGCTGCAATCAAGAAACGGACCACAAGCTTTGAGATTCATAAAGGATAACTTTTCAAGAAGGGCTACCTACAACCGTTATTGAAATGTGTTACCCCAGAGAAGGGGAAAGAGGTTCTAGAGGATCTGCACTCGGGCTTTTGTGCATCACATATAGGCAGCAGAACTCTAGCAAAAAGGGCCAGGCGGCAAGGCTACTTTTGGCCCACCCTTGAGGCAGATGCCATGGAAATGGTGAAGAAGTGTGACAGGTGTCAAAAAATTTCCAAACTCATACGTCGTCCGGCTACTGATTTGACGGCTATTCACAGCTAGTGCCATTCGCCAAATGGGGCATGGACATCCTGGGTCCATATACGCCTGCTACAGGCGGACGAAGGTATAATCTATTTTCCGTTGATTACTTCACCAAATAGGTAGAAGCAGAGGCGTTCAAAGGCATAAAGACAAAGGATGTCATCTCCTTCATTTGGAGGAACATTATCACCCAGTTTGGGATACCTATGTCTATGATCTTTGACAATGGCCCCCAGTTTGAAACGCCTACCCTCAAGGATTGGTTGGGAGATCAAGAGATCTCACATTGCTTCGCATCAGTCGGTCGGCCCCAAGCAAACGGGCAGGTTGAAGTCTTCAACAAGCTAATCTCAGACGGCATAAAGAAGTAGAAAGAGCTGGTGGCCTATGGGCAAATGAGTTTCCTCATGTCCTATGGGCCATCAGAACAACTAAAAAAGGGGCAACCGGTGAAAC